AGCTGTCGCCTCTGTTTCCCAGCAGCAGAGAGTGTCCCAGCTGGAGGACCTCTGGGAGCATGCCAGCTAGCTGGTCATTTCAAGCCTAGGAGCCACTTTCTCCAAGCCAAAACCGTCTACCTCTGTGCTTCAACCTTTTGCATCTTGTGTTGACTTCACATGCTAAAGAAACACACAAATCTAGCATGGCCATAATGCAGGGGCTTAGGCTCCATTTCAGTACTACCACCGAGACATTTATTTCTGGTGAGAACAGGGTTTACAGCAGCCTACTGCTTGCTTCAGCCAGCAGCACCCAGGTGCTGAGGCTCTCATTTCTGTGAATATGCATGTTTACGGGATCAGCATCGGTTTTCTTTTATGCAGAGCATACGGTCTTCCTTTCCATAGGCTGGGAAGGCTGGAAAGATTTCCTCTGGCACCCTTCCATATCTGCATGAGAGCGCAGAGACAGGGCTCAGCCTGCAAACTGCCCCGTCCCAACAGCAGAGCAGAGGATGCTGGTGCTGCTTGGGGTGGGCACCCGGCTTGGCGAGCCTCGCTTTCCAGCACAGAAAGCAAGGGCACCCAAGCTTTTGTGACAGCCCATGTACCAGCATCCTGTTCTCCATGTGCATGTGGGTAAGGGTAGGTGGGGTAAAAGTTAATTGTTAGTAATCTCTCATAAAAATATGGTTATCTTTGTTTTTAAGCTCCATGAACATTTGGTGGGGGTTAAGGCCTGCTCTTCTGTCTGGCTACGGCTGCTCCTGAAACCAGCCCAATGGAAGCAGGAGCACAGAGGCCACATTTGGAGGAAGGACTTTGCCCCTCCCAGGTTTATATTTTGTTACCTGGGCAAGGCTGCATTCATTGGGAAAACGCCAGTTTCACATCCTGAGCCTTTTTTTGAGCTGTCCTGATGGAAAGGGGAAGTAAAGCACAACCAACTGCTACCCAGAGCCAACAAGCAGGACTGCAGGCACAGCCCAGACCTCTCCTGCACACACATCCATTCCTTCCTTCAGGGCTTGGGCTTCAGTGGGTCTGAGCCTCTATTCCACTTCCCATTTCACAGGGTGGAATCAACTGCCTGCTCCAGTGGACTGCTACAACAAAATGTTTACAGGTGACTTCCAGCTCCCACAGGCAGAAGTGGGGGAGCCATGGGCCTCTTCTCCCCCAGCTCTTGGTGGCTGATGAGTTTGGAGGAACTAGAAAAGCCCCTTGGAAAACTGGGGCAATAGTGCTGTTCTGTTGAGAGCTGCAGCTATAGGACAGGTAACTCACTGCTCTCCCCGTGCCACATGGAGAGTTGGCAAAGGCCAGGCTTAACTTTCCCACCAGTGCTTTATTTTTAACCTGCGCCCTTACATGGGCAATTGTGTGAATTTTGGCCAGTGGCCTTTCTCTTCGGTAACTTCTTTTTGTCTGGACAATCTTGGTGCTGTGAGTGACTGTGATTGTAAAACTTGGTACTGTGAACTTTTCCTATGTGATGTGAGATGTGTCGAGGGGATGCTAAGTTCCTGACCAAAGGAGGTGTACTTACAGGTAGGTTTTGCTTGTACAGATATGTTTCCTTGCACCTTCCTTCTTCAGCGTTCAGACAGTAAAAGCTCAGCAAGAACTACAGTGTTATTCAGGAGTACTCCATGCTTCAGTCAAACAGCTGAAGGAAAACACCCCAAACCAGAAAACCAGCCAAACAACTTCGCCACAAACAAGGCGAAGGAAATAAGAAGCTATTCACCCTCAACTATGTTTTGCTGCGCCTATGGCTGAGGTCATGATCGCACCAAATTGCTAATCCCTAACACACTGAAGCGTAAGCACAGTTGAGACATGACAAGAATCACAGCAGAATTAGAGTCTCACTTCAGTACCCTTTCATAGCACATAACAAAGTTGCTGTTTCAAGTGAGTGCCTTTTTCCAGTTAGGACATTATTGAGAAAATGGCATATTTGAAGTTTATCTAGACATGGCATATTCAAACCATTGACAGGGAAATCACAATTCAGACTTGTCCATGGATGCAAAGGTTGCCTGGGACAGATGACCTTGCAAAATGATGCTTCTGTTGCACAGAATTCCTTTGTAGAAAAAGCAGTTCTTTGTAGTGCCATGGTTTCTAGGTTGTTAGTGAATGTGCTGTTTGGAGAGTGTAAAGCTCTTGTAGTAGCTGGCTGTACAGAAGCCCCAGTGCAACTAAAAGGGCAGCTCTGCTGCCACTTAATTACTTACTACAGAGAAACACATTTAAAGCTCTTCAATGTCCTGTTTATAAGCCTGCTCCTCCTTTTGAATACCCTTCTCTTTGGTAATTGAGCTCTTGTTTCTATTTAAACCTTTCGCCTCATAATAGATCCGTTTACAGAAGAGTGACAGTGGTACCATTAAAGTGCAAACAATACCTCACCTGATGCACCTTGCACACCAACCGTTTATTCTGCCAGCATTAAAATTACTGCTCCAGGTCTGTAACACTTTGCCAAATGATGTTGTGCCATAATGCCCCTTGGGATTCTGTTACAAGCCTTTTAACACAACTCGGCCATTTAGCATTTTATTGCTCTCTGTTTGCTATCCTGACAGAAGAGGTGACTACTCCCAGGAGGAGAAACTGAAGTGAGAGAAGGCCTGTGGCTAGTGGACACTTGGCATCCCCCTGGCATTAATCAGAACTTGTATTTTTTAAAAGCAAGATTGTTAAAATAAAACTAGAAACTCGTGAGTGATTTTGCTCTTTATTTCCCTCCTTTGAGTCTTGCTGGGCTACTCAATTTTGCATTCAGGGACCAACACATGCATTCAAGTTACTTTATTTCCTCACATTGGTTCTCCAAAATAGCATCTGGATTTTTAACTTGAACTTCTTGTAAGTGAAAGCGAATTCTAAAAGCTGTAACACCACGGGAGTTATTTGAGAAGAGAATGACTAGGGCAAGAAAATCCAGATGACACTTCTGAGCTTCCCATTTAAATGATGTACAGGAATTCATACTACTTGAAAAAGGCTCATGGGGGAAAAAAAATACCAGATTTACATGTTAATTGCTGCAAGAGAAAAGAAACTTTAAGAAGTGGGATCATCAACATGACAGTTATTCTGAGAATGGGGTTCTCACTGGAGACAAATTGAAATCACAGCTGCCCCTGGCTTAGCCCCTGCTGGATTAAGTCCTGTACAGACAGGAAACAAAGGTGGCACCCAGTTTTCAGTGTGGATCTATGCAGGGACCATCCCTTTTTTAGTCTTTCTAGGCATCCTGCCTCACTGGGCAGCCCTGCACGGAAATGACAAACATTTCCCTTCTTTAACACCCATTTTGAAGGAGCATGCACTTCCCACACATGAGGGCCCTCAGCTGTATCCAACTCTACTGGATACAGCTGCAAACCTTTTCAGGAATGCTT